AGCTCCAGCCTCAGGCTCAGCTGTGAGACCCAGAATGACCACGGGGCCCAGAATGGCACCATCCTGCTGCTGCCAGGTCAGAGGTTGTGCTCTGGAGAGTGGTGGAGAGTGGGGGTGAGGGGAGACGCACTGATCACAGAGTGATGGGTGGAGGGAGAGAGGGGTGGGGCCCAGGCAGAAGGTGGTAGGGAGCTGGGGTGAGGGTGTGGGAGTGGCTGAAGCAGGATTCTCAAGGAGGTCAGAAGACCACAGAGAGAGGTTGAGTCCGAGAAGCATCATCTCACCTCCCCCTTTTCTGCAGGGAAATCTGTCGTCGGGGTGGGAGCAGTGCCTGCGGCCCTTGCAGGTGCTGGCACCATGGCCCTGTTCTCCGTCTGCCTGTGCCTCATCTTCCTCTGCATGTAAGTCTTGGTCCCGGGGGACGGTGCAGGGAGGAGTGAGGGGGCAGGAGAGAGGTAGTGGAATCTCAGAAACGCAGAGCTGAGTAGGTCCAGAGGGGTCTCCTCCCTTTTACCTAACAGCTTTACCAACATATAATTTGCATTGTACTCAATTCTTACATCAAAAGTGTATAATTCAGTGGCTTTTGGTATATTTACAGAATTGTGCAGCTGGTATCCCAATCAATTTTAGAACTTTCATTAGGTCAAAATGAAAAAAGAAACCCCCCAAAGGAAAGGAAAGCCTATACTCCTTAGCTGGCATTCCCTCATCTTTCTCCCAGCCCTAATCTATTATGTATTTCTCTTAATTTGCCTATTCTGGACATTTCATGTAAATGGAGAAATATGATATGTCCTTTGTGGCTGGTGTCTTTCACTTATCGTCACATTTAAGGTTCATTCATGTTGTAGCATGTCCCATTGCTTCATTCCTGATGCTTGGGAGGCTGAGGCAGGAGGACCTCTTGAGCCCAGGTGAGGCTGCAGTGAGCTACAATTGTGCCCCTGCTCTCCAGCCTATGAAAGAGGGGGACCCCTCATTTCAGGAAAAAATAAAAGAACTTTATTCCTTTTTGTTTCTGAATAATATTCCATTCTGTGGATGGAGTACATTTGATTTGTTCATTCATCTGTTAATGGATATTTGGGTTGTTTCTACCTTTTGGCTATTATGAATAGCACTGTTATAATCATTCATGTATAAGTTTTTGTGTGTAACAGGGATTCTTTAATGGGGAAAATTCAGTCCTTGGCCTCCTTGACCAAATCCCTGGTCATCTGGGAGGATAAAGTCCCCACTTGCATATCAGGAAGGTCTCTGAGTCTAATTCCAGGGCCTGGACACTCCAGTCATCATTTTCACGTCTTAACAGGGGTCCAGGCAGCCTGCTCATAGGTGCCTGAGCCATCCCAGCTGCCTTGTGCTGGTTTTCTTCCCTTAGCGTGAAGGCCCAAAGGAAGCAAGCAGCTGGGAAACCAGAGCAAAGGGATGATGAAGACCCTGTTATGGGTACAGTTGCCTGGGTGAGTGAATTGGGCATCTTCTCATGCACAGGGGTGGGGACCCTAAAGATGTCCACTCAACAAGTGCAGACTGAGGTTCTCAGCATTTCCCTAAATCCTCTCCTCCCGGGTCACC